CACAAAGAGTCGGACTCGACTAAACAACTGAACAACAGCAAAAAACTTGTCTGACCAGCCTAAAACATGGTGACTCTAAACCAGGGATGTGGTGGCACTAAACCACACTGCATTAAAACTTTCAAAAAAAGAAATCTTGATGAGACAGTATGCTTGAAAAAGTCCTCTGAATCCACCCTTAAAGGTTTCAAGAGCGTGTTCACATTATACAGAAAATTTAACTATCGTGGCTTCAAAATCTTGGAATTTATAATTTGATACTTAGAATTCTCTGCTAGTTAGTTCTTCAAAATCTTGGAATTTATAATTTGATACTGTACTTAGAATTCTCTGCTAGTTAGCTCTGGTGTGTAGCCTGCACACACACTATGGCAAATAATCTTAACTGCCTCTCCAAACCACAAACCCCAAGATTATGTAGGAAGACAGCACGGCAGGTTGGTATCAAATGGGTATAAACTCTGTACTATAGTTAGCTTAAGATTTACATAAGAAATATATTCTACTAAGGAAACTGTTGCAATGGCACAAACTTAGACTAGCAGCAGTTTCGGTTAACATTATCTCTGCATAAAGTAAACCTTTATTTTCAGTTGAGCAACCCTGAACCTTACGCTCAGCAGAAACAAGTTTCTATTTTAACAGGAACACTGTCATATGATGGCATTGCACGACAAGAAAAAGTAAGAGGCTCTCCCTCAGGATTTTTGTGCGCTCTAGGTTGAATGTCAGGACATTAAAGCTGCTGGGGTGTGTGTTGTGGTAGCAGGCAGGCAAGGGAATGGTTGCTGTCAAGGCCTTTAATTATGGGCATGGTGTGTTTTGGGAAAATGGATGATTAGCAAGAAAACTGTCTTGAAGTGCAGATCTTTGAATGGAATGTTGCTACTACTTTATTCAAGCTAGCAGTCTGATGACATAAAGGATCCCATGATTAAAGAATCACCTAAGAGTTTTTGTAAGTGTTAATGCTTTTTATTTAAGAGCGTGACTGTTATTTAAGTGAATTTGCAAACACATGACGGTAGTTTCAAAGGAAAAACAGTCTAAAATATTTGTAACAACTGACAGCACTATCTTAACACCCTAAATGTAAGGCTGGCTGGCACATAACCCTGAGTACATGCTGTTTCCAAAACATTTTCTGGCGATTAAAACAAACAGGCCACACTGGAAAGCACGTCAAGTGCTAAGAATTCTATTTCTCCTATCTCACACCATCCGAAAGATTAATTTGGGCTACATAAGTGGGCGTTTCAATTAAGTAAGCAGTGAGACTGATGCCGCCAACCACTTGACTGAACTATGTAGGCCTTCGAAACACCTAAACATTAAGTGTTAAGAAGCCAATTTGGCAAGCAAACAAATGTTTAAAATAGCACATCCAAGAATATTCTAAATAACTGAAGTGGCCAATTTGATATTCTTCCTTCTTCCTCCAGATTTATGTTAATATAGCACCTTCTATTTTTTGTCTATTTCATTAGCAGACTTTCAGCAACATTTGGGGGTTTTCAGGAGTGTGCATTAAAGTATTTGTTTGCTTCTTTGTTCATCTGTTTAGAGTTCTACTAGGAAAAATAACACCTGTTGCCTTTTTCCAGTGAAAGGACAAGGAAAAGGGTTTTTAATACTAATGTCTTTTTATTATTAGCTGCCCTGAGTGCTCTTTTCTTGTGGAAAGGCAGGAAATATATCTAAAAATAATTAAAGTAGTAAATATTGCAACAATAACCTGGATTTGAATACACACTGGCCAAAATCCTATTGCTTAGTATAGTAAATCACACTAGAGTACGCCCATTGAATTAAGGGGATTTGGGAGTCAGCTCCTTCATATGTTCTATTGATTTAAATCAACCTACTCTAACTGGAGCGTATAGTAACATAGTAAGTCACAGTTAGAGTTGGCCCATTTGAATCACTGGAATATTCAGAGGAGCTGACTTACCAATCCTCATCCATTCAATGGGTCTACTCTAGTGCAATTTACTATGCTAAGCAGCAAGATTTTGGCCACTGTCTTTTTCTCCTCGTTTGATACAATCATTTTACTTAAGTGATGAAGAAAGCCGTATAGAGTGGTCTTATAGGCCAGATGGGCGGCGTATAAATCAAATACAGTGGTGCCTCGTTTAGCGACGTTAATTCATTCTGCAAAAATCGCTGCAGAACGAAAACGTCGCTATGCGATATTAAAAAGTCCATAGAAACGCACTGAAACCCCTTCAATGTGTTCCTATGGGCTTAAAACTCACCGTTGAGCGAAGATCCTCCATAATGCCACCATTTTCAGTGCCTCTAAAGCCAGGAATCCGTCCCTAAACACAGCGGGCGGCCATATTATTTCCCAGCGGCCAATTTGAAACCGCCAATCAGCTGTGCGAAAATGGGGGCTTTGCGATGATCGCTTCCCTGCGATCATCGCAAAGCGAAAATACCCCATAAAGAACATCGCAAAATGATCGCTTTTGCAATTGCAAAAACAGTGTCGCTAAGCGATTTCGTCGCTAAACGGAGCGATCGCTAAGCGAGGCGCCACTGTAAATCAAATAAATAAATAAATAATAGAGCAGAGGGAGTGAAATACTTTGACCTTTGGGCCCTAGTAAACGCTCATCCTATTCATCCTTGAAATTTTTTTGCCTTGTTGAATTAAGTTTGACTTGGGCCTTGTAAACAGAGTACTGTACCCAGGACAACTGCAATATGAAAGCAGGATTTGAAGAGTGTTTGACCATTCTACCTTGGGTGACTGAGTGCTAGGAGCGCATACTTGAAATACAGTTTAATCTGTTACTTCCATCTCGGCTTTCTTGATACATCCAAACCCTCTTCCTGTCAAGGTGTGCATCCGAGGTGGGGGGATACTTAGTGTATTTAATTTTGATTGCTATTCCTCTTCATGGATAGCTCAGTGGTTTAGGTATCTGGCTGAAGTGCCAGAGGTTGGGAGTTTGATTCCCCACTGTGCCTCTATAATGGGGGCTGGATCCATAGGGTCCCTTCCAGCCCTGCATTTCTAATATATTAGACCGCAAGGCTGCTATTATATCCATTTTGCACTCACAAGACTCTGCCAACTATTAGCCCATGCCTGCACATTATATATACAGTGGTGCCTCCCAGTCCAGGGGACTCTCAAGAGTCTCCTCCAGCAACACAATTCAAAAGCATCAATTCTTTGGCAGTCAGGCTTCTTTATGGTCCAGCTCTCACTTCCGTACATCACTACTCAAAAAACCATAGCCTTGACTATGTGGACCTTTGTCGGCAAGGTTATGTCTCTACTTTTAGATTTAGAACTTTTCTAAGTTCTAAACAGAAATTATAACATATCACCTGATTCACTTATTCAAATCCTTAATTTGTAGTAGGAAACAGATATGACCACCAGCCTGAAAACTATATTTCCCTGTCTTTTATTCCTGATATTTAAAAGATTTCACTGAATTTTCACGTGACATTTTCATTTCCCAGACCTTTACTTCATACAATACCCCCTGTATGTATATGTGTGTATGTGTGTGTGTATAAAATGTGCAAACATGGCCTAATACAGTGGGGTCTTGACTTGAGAACTTAATCCGTATTGGAAGGCGGTTCTCAAGTCAAAAAGTTCTCAGGACATATCTGCATTTCCCATAGGAATGCATTGAAAACCATTTGAGCCGTATCTGCTCTTTTCCGTCCATAGAAACTAATGGGAAGCTGTTATTCCGCCTTCGACCACTAGAGGGGGATATTTTGTTTCTTTGTTTCTTAGGTCAAGAAAGGTTCAGGGAAGGCAGGGAAAATACAGTCCAGGCAGTACAGGACCAGGCAGTCCGAAGACTGTCTCCCAATCCACTCTCTAAACACTGGGAGGAGTGAGGAAGCAGACAGGCACCCTTTTCACTGGCCAACAGTTAACTGAAAGTTCAAATTTTGCACTTTCCCTGCCTCCCATGTGGTTTTTTTCAGTTCTTAACTCAAATCTAAGTATGTAAGTCAAGTCAATATTTTCCTATGAGAGTGGTTCTTAAGTCAAAATGTTCTTAACTCAAGCCGTTCTTAAGTCAAGACCCCACTGTAGTTGGCAGTCTTATGAGTGCAAAATGGATATAATAGCAGCCTTGCGGTCTTAATAGGCCAAGGCAAAGCACACAGGTTCCTCTAAACCTCAAGGAAGAAAAACTGGAAAATATATATAGTGACCTGCAATTCAGCTTCCAACATCCAACCCACAACAAGCCTTCTTTATCCAACAGCCAAGATTCAGTTAATGGAATTCATGAAACAGAACTTTAGACTCCATTTATTATGTAAGTCAATACAATATAAGAACATACCCTACTTAAAACATACACTGTTATAAAGTTTGTAAGTTAGCAGCCCTAAACATGTTTATTTGTTGCCCCATGCTCCCTCCAATTTAAACAGAAGGTGGCTCACAATAAGAATGCTTAAATATCACTGTTTTAAATATCTCCCTGAACTTTGCATCAGTATTGTTTACAGTCAATGACAACCAGTATAGAAATATACAGTAATCTAAAGATTACACTATTTCAGGTTTAACCTTCAGAAGCAAACACACGATATCTGGAAGAAAGTCCAAGACAATCCAGAATGGAACACAAGATCAATTGAACAATCTATTGCAGTTAGATTCTTTCTTTGCAAATCAGCTCAGCCAGAAGATCTATGAAAATCCTATAAACGCTTAGACACTGCTGCACCAATAATTCGCTCGGCACCTGACATCATGCAGAAACACCTTAGTCCTTTGAAACATGCATTTTTCTTAATGAGGATCACCCCACACAATTATACTATCTCTCCTAAAGCTGAGAGTTTTAATGCAGCATATTGGCTCATATCAATACTTGAAAAGATATTTAACACCCTTCTTGCATACTCATTCACAGGCAAAACTGCCCATTAAAGCTGTTGTTTCTTATAGCTATGAGTGGGATTGTAAGGAAACAATATCCAATATCAATGTGCTGCATGCCATTTTAAACCAGACAGTAAGAGATGCGTGACAACAGAGAAGGCATATAGAAAGTGGGGAAAGGGCAAAGATGATTGATCCTCTTACCTCCATCTTGCTGTGAATTCATGATATTCAGAGCAAACAGCATTGCATTTGAGAACGTGGTTGCTTCTTCCTTACTAGCGAAGTTCAGTCCATAAACCTGCCGTGCGTCACGCCACTGATGGAACGTCGGTGTTGCCTGATTGTACTTCAGGCCTTTCACAATTGAATAATTAATCACTACCTGAAATTGCAATGGTAAGAATGAGAAGTCATGAGAAATAAAGAGAAGAATAAAGGTAAATTATGTTTTAATCAAAGTCTTCTCTGAACTGTTTTATCAGTTAGTATTATTTTTAATGTTAACAGGAGCTGGTTATAAAGATCACATAGCCCCCATTACAACAGCTCTACTGGCTGACAACCCATTTCCAGGTAGAATTCAAAGCGATGGGTCTAAACTATAAAACCCTAAACGACTTGGTTCCAAGCTATCTCAAGGACCACATCTCCCTTTATGAGCCTGCCTGAGGGTGAAGATCACCAGCAGAGGTCTTTCTTCCAGTTCCACCACCCACACAGCTGCATTTCATGGAGACACAGGAGAAGGCCTTCTCTGTCGCTGCTCCCAGACTCTGGAACTCCTTCCCATGAGAGACCAGGCTGGTCCCATCTTTGCTGTTCTTAAGTAAGCAGGAGAAGATCTTTTCCTTAATGACCTGCTGTCTAAGGGACATTTTAAATTAGGATGGTTTATATTTTTGTTATCCTTCATACATTGCTGCCTTGTCATGGCAAAGGGGCTTGAGTAATTAAGAGAAGCTATGGGTGATGCTGTGCAGGGCCACCCAAGACGGACAGGTCCTAGTGGAGAGTTCCGACTAAACACGATCCTCCAGGAGCAGGAACTGGCAAGCCATTCCAGTATCTCTGCCAAGAAAACCCCATGAACAGAAACAAAAGGCTAAAAGATATGACGCTGGAAGATGAGCCCCTCAGGTCGGAAGACATCCAACATGCTACTGAGGAAGATTGGATGACAAGGACAAGTAGCTCCAGAGCTAATGAAGTGGTTGGGCCAAAGCTGAAAGAGCACTCAGCTGCAGACGTGCCTGGAAGTGAAAGGAAAGTCCGATGCTGAAAAGAAAAATACTGCATAGGAACCTAGAATGTAAGATCTATGAACCCTGGGAAGCTGGATGTGGTCAAACAGGAGATGGCAAGAATAAACATTGACATCCTGGGCGTCAGTGAACTAAAATGGATGGGAATGGGCGAATTCAATTTAGACGATTATCATATCTCCTATTGTGGGCATGAATCCTGTAGCCCTCATGTGTCCCAGAAGCAAGTTTCCAAGCTCTGATGTGAAATTTCTGTCATAGTTCTAAGATTTATGTCCTTATTCAAGAGTGTAAGGACCCTTGAGCACTACTTCACAGTGTAAAGCTCAGGTATAAGTGCAATAAATAAATGAATAAATACCAGCACGCTACGTTAAATAACATACAGCTTAAAGTTACTGTCTTTTTTGACTCACAAGTAAGTGCACAGCGATCTCATGCAGATCAGGCCCACCAAATGTATTTAAGGAGATCGAAAATCTCCCTCACCCTGTTTTTTACCCTAAATTTTATCCTTGCTCAGCACAAGAGCTAAAATGCAGGAGGCTGACTCCATCAGTACGAAGAGAAAGTTTAGTGGAGGATCCGCTAATTTAGTCTTAGTCTTCTATCATTACTCTGGCCATCTCCTCATTCCACTGAGTTCTCTGTGTGTGCCAGAAAACTGGGGGAAAGTAAGGGGTATGATAAAGTAAACACCAGAGTGAAAAGGCACAATGGAGATGCACAGTTCAGCCCTCATTTAAAACCTACAGAAGGTAAAACGAGACCACACCCTTCCTTGAATCTCAGGGCCAATATCCTGGTCAGTGTTTCCAAACAAGACACTATTTTGGTCATTCTGACCATGTGCTGGTCCTGTACCTGGTCATGCATTACCATCAGCCCCCCCCTTTTTTTTCTTTTTTGAAAGCATAGAACAGCTGCAGGAGATGACCGCTGCCATTCTTGGCAGAGGAAGACTCTGAAAAGCTACAATTACTCACCTGCTGATCCTGTAGTTTAACTCCAACTACTCTAAATGTGTTACTGGCAGTGTTGTGGTAGATGTTGATTCGGCTGAAGCCCTGCTGTCCAGGCTTGATTGGCACCCATTTCTTACTGGTATCATCATAGACCATGACTGACGCCCGGGCTTGGCAAATACTCTGTTCACTGAAAAAGAAAAAAGGAAATTAAAAAAAAATACAATAAATGACAAGTCAATGAGAAGCATGAAATGTGTGGTCTTTTTTTTCCCCAGCCTGAAGAGTATGAGGTCAATAAAGTTCAAGGTTTTATTTGCTCAGCATTTTTAAGCAGATTGACATGATTTGTACACTCCAATTAAATGTGGGTATTAGAACATTGTTATCTTTCAACTTTCATAGTCGTGAAAATTTTGCAAAATAGTTCTTGGTTCAAGAAATAAATCAAAATGCAAGTTTCCTAACACTGTAGGTTCCATGATCTACCGTGGATGCCTGAAATTGCAAATACGAGGGACTCATATATATCATACAAGGGGGCAAGACAAAGGCTGAAAGAGGGTGCGTTTGTATGCTGTATGTTGTATATAGAGCTGTGGAAAACTGCAGATAAGTGAAACCATGGACATCAATCCCACAGACAGGGAGATCTTATTGTATTCAGCAAGAAATAAATCAAAATGCAAGTTTCCTAGCACTGTAGGTTCCATAATCTACCGTGGATGCTTGAAATTGCAAATATGAGGGACTCATATATATCATACAAAGGGGCAGGACAAAGGCTGAAAGAGGGTGCCTTTGTATGCTGTATGTTGTATATACAGCTGTGGAAAAATGCAGATAAGTGAAACCATGGACACCAATCCCGCAGACAGGGAGATTTTATTGTATTCATTTTGTACACCATTTCTCGCAATTTCTTATGGGAAATTGCTATGGAAAGACTGCTGGCTATGTTAAAAAGCCTGTGTGTTCTTATAGTTCTAATTGTTTGATTAGAGCATGGAAGACTGAAATTAATATGTTACTGGCAGTTAAAGTCCCTGCTGAGTGATAAAATGTGGGGCTGTCACTTTCTCTCACCCAAAATGTCCCAACATGGTTGCAGATAATTATAAAATTATCCATGTATGTCCTCTCTTCAGCTTAATGGAAGAACAATGGAGTACAAATGCATTTAATAAATAACAAATTACAGTTGTCACTGAAGCCCCAATTCTGAGTCTACTCATGGCAGGAAATCTGGACTGGAGAATACCATCTCCTGGTAGAGTTCAGTCATCACATAACCATGCCATGATAGATCCATCCTGAGAAGAGTTTTTCAGTAGCTGCTAAATAAACCACTGACATCAACCAAACATATTAAAGTGGCATCTGTAACACTCCAGAAAAATAACACAGTTGAAAGTCCCATATAATTGCTGTTATAAGTTTTCTTTAATATTGGTATTTTTTTTTCAAATACAAAGCTAATTAGAAATGGGATACTTCCCACAATATTTGCAAAATTAAAAAAATGTTCCATTCTAATCTACTTAAATGTGTAATACAATGCAGCAATGAAATCCATTAACACACATTAAATGTGCTAATGTGCCATAGAAATGAAAGAGTTGCACATTTCAAATTGGCCCATGGGCAGGACATTAAAAGTCAACCAGAGCAAATAAATCTTGCACAGTGTCCAAAACAATATTACAGCAAACATTTGAAAGAAATAGAATTTTATTCTGCTTTCTTTCAAATTGGGGGAAAAAAAGAGAGAACAATTATGCTGGCAAAATATCTCTAGAAACACCATAGCACCAAATCAATGTGTTAACTTAATGCCAAGCTAGAAGTTGTAGGCTTAGGAAGTGTTTGCACTGAACACATAGAAAGCAATGGTGTAATTTCTAGCAGAGCCGTGGTAGAGCAGAAAGAGGAACAACTGGATTTTTGTCTCTGCCATACATTTGTCTCCCACACAGTCTCTCCCAGGGTAAAAGGTAAAGGTAAAGGTTCCCCTTCACAATTTCTGTCCAGTCGTGTTCGACTCCAGGGGGCGGTGCTCATCCCCGTTTCCAAGCCATAGAGCCAGCGTTTTGTCCGAAGACAATCTTCCGTGGTCACATGGCCAGTGCGACTTAGACACAGAACGCTGTTACCTTCCCACCGAGGTGGTCCCTATTGATCTACTTGCATTTGCATGCTTTTGAACTGCTAGGTTGGCGGGAGCTGGGACAAGCGACGGGAGCTCACTCCGTTGCGTGGATTCGATCTTACGACTGCTTGGTCTTCTGACCCTGCAGCACAGGCTTCTGCGGTTTAGCTCGCAGAGCCACCACGTCCCCTACCCTCCCTACCCTACTTACCCTCCCAGGGTAAGTAGGTAAAAAGACAAAATCAAAATAAGGTTTCACCCACCCCTCATCTAACACTTCAATACAACCTGTATTCTCAGGAGTGATTTCTCAAGAAAGACACTAAAAGAGAAATACAACTAGTAGCCGAAGGCTGTATTTAGCATTTTCCTGCTGAAAACCAGCCCTTACAATTCCAGCGCTTTAACAAAAGCCATGTAAAGTAGTAATCTGATTACTAAAATATATTATAGATAATCCACCATTAGAAAAGGGATTTCCAATCACATTGTAATTTCTGGTTTTCACGGAAGGAGCTTTTCATATCACCCATATCTGTAAGTTAGCTTATCTCTTGTATTTGGAAATTAGCTTGTTCTGGCTGAAATCCTGTTGCTTACTGTAAATTGCAACTAGAGTAGGCACACTGAGGATATGATGGGTCAACTCCTCCATAACTTCCATTGACTCAGTGCAATGCACCTACTCTATTTATGATTTACTACATGGAACATCAGGATTTCAGCCTTTGTTACATGACTTGTCACTAGGAGGAAAGGTGCTCTATTTGCAAGTATGACTGCATAATCACAGAGGTCTGCCTTGTTTCTGGTACACCAGTGAATGTCAGCTTCTAACAAATGCCTGTCTTTAAAGTGTCATTAAAGCATGCTAGCAAAACAGGCCCTCTGCCCTTTTAATAATTTTTCCTCCCTGTATGATTAGATTTAATGTACCAACCGGGACTGTTGGGTGTTGGAATTGGATCACCCAGCCAACCCGTAATCAAGGCACTGCCTGTAGAAGGACCATGACATGACAGAAGAGGATTTTCATGGGCACCATGTCACCAAGGTTACGCGCCAATCAATCCAGCACCCGTGCTAGTAAGCAGCAGTAAATAATCAGAGCAGATGACTGGATATGCCTGCAACCTCCCGGAATTAGTTCAAACTATTCACCTTTTGAACTATGCCAACATGGCCTGCTAACGCTGTTTTATATCTGCACAGAAAATGGTAGCAGCAGTAGCACAAAAGAGATCTTATTTGTAAATATATTGAAAGGCTTATCGTGGAAGAAGCATGATGTCGGAGAAGGATAATGTTAAAAGAGTGCTCTGATTTGCCGACCAGACGACAATCTAAATGCCTTAACAAAACGGAATAATCTTTGGGCTGTGCTCTCTCTCTCTCTCTCTCTCTCTCTGTGTGTGTGTGTTTGTGTGTGTGAGAGAGAGAGAGAGAGAGAGAGAGAGAATTATCTTTCTAATGTAGCAGCTGCTCATCAACCATGTTCCCTATGCAAGTCATAAGTGACCAAAATGCTGAGAAACTGAATCCTTCCCATAGGCCGCATGGATGTAGTGGTGTGTTTTCGACAGGCTGAGAACGGAGAGCAGCATTTCCTGCTTATTGTAACGGGTTCATACAGTAAAATATACAGTATGTGTTGCATTACTGCAGATGTATGGGGGAGGGGTGGAAACAACATTCCTTTGAAACTGAAGGTAGTTCTGGCAAATGTTGCTAAAGCTATAATCCAGATGATGTAATTCAAAATCCTGCCGTTATCACTTTTAATTTATGTAGCAGAGGCTTACGTATCTCCATGCAAAAGGAAAAAGGCATTACTAGTGCAGTTAATTGAGCATTCTTTGCAACAGACTGTTCTAGGTATCATACAAAAGACATTTACATGACATGTAGATCCAGCTATCATATAATAGTGCATGACCTAGTGGATATTATTTGATAATAATTTTGGAAACAACTAAAAAGGGCCTATCCAGCCAATATTTTTGAGGCAAACTATGGACAATGTCAGCCAAGCTAAAACCTGAAATAAAAAGAGTGTACAGGGCATCCTTGGTCATGAAATGAGTCCATTATATATATGTATGCTAGTGAACTGAATGCAGACTCAGTCATGACCCCATAACTAGCATATACATTTAGGGGCACTGTCTGCTTTCGAAAAACATCAGTTTCATGCACTGAATTTGTTTGGCTGGATAATTTATTCATGTAAAGCAAAGAGAATTTATAAATTACTATGAGATAAAGATTATATTGATTATATTGGTTTATACTGAAATGTAAAACAAAAAAAAATCAATATCAGCATGCATTGTAACTGCAGTTCTCAAGAAGTAGATTATAATCATTTATACAGTACTGGAATTGTAAAAAATAAAATTACGCTGTGGTTATACTCTGCATTGAGTAGATAAAGAATATTGGTTAGTAATGGATATATTCAGGATTCTTCTTTGTACAAATAAGTATTACCAGGAGCTGATTATTAATTTTCTTATTGCTATCAGCATCTCCATTGATTCTCACTGTAGATGTGAGATATCTCAAGATGATGCCGTCATGAAAAGGCTCAGATATTAAATAAGAGCAAAAGAGAACATTATGGTAGATAATTGGTTTATCAACTGATGGAGTTGCTGTCTCTGTTTCTGGAGTGACCAAAATGCTGAGAATGTTTGCCTTTTTTGATTTTAAAACATATGGGCTGGAATGGCATCTTGAGGCATTTTGTATTCTTTATTTAATGTCATAAAATATGTAAATATAAAACAAATCCCTCCCATTAAAAACAGTTCTTTGAAATTCTGAATTACAAAAATTATCTTTTTGGTAAACTTATGAGAGGATCAATCAGGACCAAGAACAGCTGACTTTGGCATTAAACCAGAAGAATTTAAGGTCCCTCCCCACTCCCAGTGCCCAAGTTTACAGAATAATGACTATAAGGATATTTTCACGTGTGTCTTCAAATCCTCAGCTTCAGTCTCATCTCTGCAAAAGGTCCTGATAAAGCTTCACATCAC